GCAGGAATAACTAGGCAGGAAGGGAGGAACAAATAACTCATTTTTTTAATCAAAGCATTAAGACCAGTTCTTTTCTAACTGAAATTATTATTTTTGCTAAAATGGAGAACCAAGAAGAAATCAATTGACTCATTTTCAGCCAAAGCAGTGACAACGAAGACTAGTCCTAGCATCCTTCACCCAAAACAATGACAGTCCTGTCTCACTTTTGTTCCCGAGTTTGGTACCCAGACCAAGTATTTTCGGATGAACCACTGTGTGACATTGATCTTGCTCTGCCTGAGTACTTATTCAACCAGTGAGCAAAGGATGAGTTCAGAGCATATTAGTTAAGACATTAAATTTTTAGAAAATCTGGATTCTATTTGCTGCTCCTATGAATAGTTAATTATCTTATGCAAAGTGGAACGGCAGTGAAACAGACTGAGAACATTATGCACATAGTACGGGGGGGAGGAAGGGGAGGCTGTTCAAATGGATGATGATGGGGCAGTGTACTGCTGGAAAGTGATATATGTGGTTTTCAATCTTCCTTTGCAAGGGGAGGCAACTACTCCTGGATTTTCCTCTCTCTGGATGTTGCTGCATCACTGAACTGTTACATGAAAGGTGACAGGTAACTTCCTTCTCCCCTCAAACGATCTTCATTGAGAACCAGTTGGTGAATTACAAATGATTTCATGATGACTGAAGGTGCCCTTTGGTTTACCAAAAACAGTTCAAGCAGATCAGCAGTAATCCTGTGCGCCAGTGTTAACTGTGCTCTTTTTTTGTTTTTCTCAGTTCCTGGCAGCTGACAGAGACAGCTCTTGCCCTTGGTTATACTCTTAGTCCCCTTGTTACAGTGTCAAGACCACTGTACCATTTGAGACGTGGTGTCAGGCTTCTCACTACAGCTGCTTATTTATCATGGTCAATAGTTTCAATATCCCCATCTTAAGAAATTACTGTTGGAGGTGGGAGATTGTATCAATAAGCTTGAATTGTACCAGTAAGCTTTGTTGAAACCAGTATTTCCTTTCAGTCCACGGAAGAGCTTTGACGAATACAGAATTAAGCATTTTTCCCCAGGTATGCTTTCCCACTGGACACATGTTGCCCTCAGAGATTTGAACAAGTCTCTCTTTTTTTGAATAAGATCTATTAGCTTTTAGATCACCTTTCCGCCCCCTGTTTTCTCCATAGGTGCACTGTTAGGCAGCTTGAGACAAATGTAATTTCTGTTTGATAGTATCTTTGTTTCATTAATTCTTGAAATAGTGTACCTCATATTTGGATGAGTGTGGCACAGGGAATACAAGAACCAAAGTCTGTTTTCTAACGTGGCTGTTGATCTCAGGGAGGCTTTGGGCTCATCAGAAAGCAGTGCTTCTACACTATGATTGTGCAGTGATGAGGCTCTATTCTCAGTTATACTTTAGACAGATATATTCACTATTAAAACATTTAAATATTCCATTAAAATATTGAAATTTTCTTTCACTAATGTGATAATCACAGTATCGTGTGGCATCCTAAAACTCTCAATTTCATTGTTTCTGAAAAAGATATGTGAAAATGCTGAAAGGTAAGTTTTGGCAAACTGATGGAACCTATTTAAAAGCAAACCAAAAGTGCACTTCTCCGTATGTTGGGAAATATTGCCAAAGTAATTTGTTTTCCTTTCTATCTTAGGTTTGTTTTTATAAAATATACTTATCAAAGCCTATTGCAGCACGTAGAATACTTACAAATAAATAACATCTCAAGATTTAGCCATATTTGTTTAAATTAAATGTCTTTCCAAACCACATTACAGAAATCTCTTTTGTCGCCCGTAGGCAAAAGTCTGGATAAACAGTATGAAACATGCTTACAATGTTCTTTGAAGGCCAAAGCCTCTTTTGAAGAAGTGGATATGTAACTAGAGAAACAGACTAGGGGTGTGATGGTCCTACAGTGACGAGATAATTGATTCTCTCATTCTGAAGAATAGGGAGGGGGTACAAGATCACATTCATTATGTCAGTTATACTGCTGTGATCTGTGTCAAAACAAAGGAGACACAGAAATCCTAGCAAAAATTCTAAGCTGTGTCATTTCTAGGAAATTTTTTAACAGTGAAGTGAAGTCTCAAGGGAATAGTTTCTAAATTTTCTAACCTCATTCCTGTGAATTCTGCTCAGCATCTTCTTTTTTCACAAAGGGCAGGGAACAGAAGCTCTTTCATGGTGCTGTGAACCGAAGGTCCCAGTTATACAGCCATTTACACTTTTGCTCCAGTGTCTTACTGTGAGTCTTGCCTTTACTCAGTGATGTTAACCATATGCTTAGCTTTGTTCTTGTAATATATATGTATGATCAGGTCTTAAAGAAGCCTGTTTGCTGTGAGAGGTACTTTTAAGTATTTCTTTTGGCTGAAGCTTTCTATAGGAGGAGGACAAACTGGCTGCTTGTGGAGCCTGAGTGCTTGAAGTTGAGTGCAGTTTAACCAGTGATAGGGCTGTACAACAGAAAGGTATCCAGATACGCTACACGTTGAGCAACCTCTCATAAAAAAGCTAGCATGATCTGATGCTAAGTATTTTACTAGTTTTTAAGCCCTCTATGAATACTTTGATTTTTTTTTTTTAATCTGCTAGAATCCAGACAGATACAAAGTCAGTTTTACAGAATATCTTCTTGAAAGTATGAAGGTTATCAAAACAAAAGTGCACGCACACACATGAATTCCCTTTTCCCCTTTACTTAATAAAAGTGTGTAGGTACCAGCCACCAAAAGGTAAGAGACAATGCTAAATTTAATTATATAAATAATCTCAGGAGTTAAATAGTTTTGTATGCTTTTTCTGTTGCTTCTAACTATTCTGTTAAACGAAATTAAAATTAATGTACGTAGCTTCCTACAGAAGAAATTTTAGAACATTTTACTCTTTAAATTTGAAATGAAATTTACTACAATGCAAAAACCAGCAGCCATTGGCATTATCTTTTATGGGGGCAAGTTCGCAGTAAAACACATTTCCCATTATCTCAGTTGTTTAGCGGCATTACTTCCTCTTGATATGAATGCACAAATCTTATAAAATTAAAGAAGTTTTATAGCTTTGAGATGCAGTGGGTTAGACACACAGTTAGTGTCTTGTGGAGACACTAAAGAAAGGAAGATTCAGTACTGGAAAGAAAGGTGGACGCTCTGGCTTTCGTCCAGCTGAATGAATGTTTCAAGCATCCACTTCATAGGAAGCATTTAAGTAGTTCCGTGGGGGTTTGGAAATATAAAACAGTAAGGCTTGGTTCTGTCCCTAGTTCAAATCATTGGCAAAATTCCCATGGTGAAGAACTGGAAACTAATTAGTGAGTAAAGCAAATATTATTGAATGTTACGTAAACGCTAAATATAACTCTTCTTGCTGTTCAGCAAGACACAAGAATATTTGCTGTCTGCAGAGTGTATCTGATAAAATCTTGTAGAGAACTTGGACGGGGGGGATCAAAACCACTCAAAAGTTTAATGATCCACAGAAGCTAGGTCTGAGAAAAGGAAACACTAGAAGAGAATGTTAAACAAGCCAATGGCAGTTTGCCTTTTATATATGGAGTAAGCTGCAGGACTTAGACCTTCAGACTGAAAAGAAGAATTAGGGTCACAAAGCACAAATAGTAGTAAATAAATAAATGATAAAAATCAGTGTATGTCAGCTTTTCTAATGTGTTTTTCCTTATGACCTTGGAAACAATTGCTAAATACAAGGTATGTAAAAGCAAACAAAACAAAGAACACTTTGTTTTTGACAGGTTCCCACAATCATTATGGCACAATGTTAATGTTAAAAAGTAAACAAATACAAATTTTAATCAAATAATTAAAATGGCACTTATAAGCTCTTACCAAACCAAGAAAAGCCAAGCTATTAGGTCTTAAAATCAAAATAATTTTGTGTTCATTTGAGACTAGTTAGAAATGGAATCAAACTGCTTGCTACCTTTGCTCGCTCTTAAGCACTGCATGGGCATCAGCACTTCTGTGAAAATGTTTAATCTTTTACTTGTGTTGATGAACTCTTGTACTGCAATAGCAGTTTCCTTCGGGTTAATTTGGTCCCAATACAATGTCCATTTGAGCCAATGGAGATAAACTTACTGGCACCAGTAGGCAATGGTAGGCAGTATTGCAAGTGCTGACTTAAAGGTACGTGGAGACTTTTAATAAAGGACCCCTCACTCATATGAGGCATGTGCATATATTAAGTCAGATCCTCAAGATCCACAAGCGTTATGTCAATAGGGTGAACTGGACTTCTCATCACAACAGCCAAGGTTTACAGGAGAATTTAATAGTACTAAGAACATTCACACCTATCGAGCACTAACCCCCATTCACACTCAGGAACTATGGCCACTGCTGTCTTACTGGCTTTTTATTGTTAAAGCACATAGGAATACCCCGGAATAAAATGACTATTCTGCATGGATGCCAAAGAAAGCACTGACAATCCAAGTGTAAGCCAGCATATGTATTTTTCCCAGACAGTATGCCAGTAGCAAGACAGAACAAACTCTTCAAACAAGCAAGAGAGAAAGCAAGTATTTCCCCACAAATTTTTTGAGGAAGGGGGTGTGAGGTGCCATCATTCTCTGTTTACCGTTTCCCCTTCAATTGTGCTTTTTTGCTATGAGCCCAGCCCCCACAACCTGTGTACCTACAGGAAAGGAAGAAGGGTTCTGCCTCACAACTGAGCAGCAATAACCCTGACTGACGTAGAAGCCATATAATTCTATTTTTATGCCAATAAATTGAAATGCAGTTATAGCATAGATAAGTAGTGAGCAAACAATGTGCTAGCTTAAGCTCAATGAAGTATGACTGTTAATTTTGTGGCTTCTCAAGCAGAGGTAGATCACATCTGAGAGGACTTGGAGCATGGGCAGAGTTGGTGTGTGACAATCTTCATTAATAAAGTAGATACAGTCTAATCTTAAATATTCCTACAGCTGTGCTCCTATGGAGTTGAATGGAGGACTTGCTACTGCTTCCTTGCCTTCTGTGAAAAAAGTTTATCTGATTTTCCATTTTTGATGCCCAATAAATCTGATTATTTTTTATATTATAAAGTATTTAAAGTAACCCCGAATTCAAATTAGGTCTATATATTAGACTTTGTTTCTTACACGCGGTGTGGTAGACATAACGTTTCAATTCAGCAGTGTTATTGAATAGTGTTGAATAAGCAGAATGAATTGAGGCTAGTTAGGTTTTGCTCAATGATGTGTGGCAGTACTGAAACCTGAAAAAAAACTATTTACATCATGCTCAAGATTATTAAATATGAGACCGATAGATTAGGAAAATTACTGAATTTTTCATTGAATTAAGTTTAACAAAGCAAATGAAAGTTGTGGTCCTTTGATATTACTTTGGTTGCTATTATGAAAACCAGATCAAAATGGGAATAAACAGGAAAGAACCATAAGAAAGAAGAAAAAGTGTGACTAATCAGTATGATTCATTTATTTTAGAAACAAACCAGTGAGTAGAAAGTGTTTATACAGAAAATATTCTTACCTGCCAAAGATGAGATATTAATGATTACTCCTCCATCTCCTCCATTGCCTTTTCTCATGTATTCTAGGCCAAGGTAGGTTCCTCTAATCACAGATGTCTGATATAGGGGGGAAAGGGATGATTATGTTCAAAATATGTTTCTTTTGTGCTCCTGAAAACTGAATCTTGCTTTAATCGTGGTGCCTAGACCCTGTATTGCTTTACCAGTGATCTTACTTATACTTAGAAGATTATAAAGAGAGATGACATTCCACAGTAATGCAACTCAGTAACTTCAGAAGCACAATTGCAATGCATAGAAATAATAGCAACTTAATTATTTTTCTTATTAAGATATAAATAATCAAACTAAAACGTTACAGCGTGAAATAAATGCTGTAAAGGAAATGAAATGCAGAATGAGTAAATAATTTATAGATGAAACACACACTTTACCTGAGGATATGTGGTGGATGAACTGATCCAATTCCCATCATTTTTATTGAGACAAACCGCTCTACATTGTAAAAAAATGTAGAGACTGAATCTGAAGATAACACTAACACTAATAACTCCATTTGGCCCAAGGCATGAGATCCCTTTTTAGGATTAAGTTATATGTTATATTTCTCATCCCAGGATATTAAAAATCTGCATTCTTTTCTGAATGAAGTTACTGGAGTTTTACCATTCCTCTCAAAAGAAGGTTAACACAAACAGACAAATACAGATAAGGTAAAAAAGCATTTGAAGAGGTGTAAACCATAATATTAGCTGCAGCATGTGATTTCTATTTTTTTTTTTTTTTTTAAGAAAGATCTTTGAGGAAGAAAATTTTACTGAGACCTGTATAATCTTGATTTCTTAAAATCTGTTTTTGAACCCTACTGCAGTCAGAACTTCTGCTGGGATTAATCTCACCAAAAGTCAGACTTTTAAACTGAGACGGCTAAAGATACGCTGAGCCTGGGGTTATCAGCCTCCTAAACGAATCAAGTGGTTGAGTCTTTCCAAGCGAGTAAGTCATTTTGCCAGAGACTTTAACAAGTGATAACAGAAAGGCATCAGACAGTGCTGTTAGTGTAAGATACTAACTTTAGTGAAATGTTGCAATATTACTGCATTAGTGATGAATTTCATAATTATTTACTGATTTTGTTAATCTCTCCATAACCAGTTCACATTTGGTTTACAGTTTCTACTTAAAATGAACAAATGTATTGAGTTACTTTTATTTTTCTGGAAATATTATTTCAGTTTTTAAATGAGAACTCAATTTACATTTTATTACTGTTTAGTGCTATTTATTTGACCCAAATAAATTAAGATGTGCAAAAGATGAAGTGGCCCTACAAATATGTTCACATCTGTGCACAACTATTTCACTGAGAGTTTTGACCAGGGAGGGTCTACAGAATTGTGAATCATGGAGAAGGAAATCTCCCAAAGTAATAAAAAAACACAGTAAAAAAAAAATCTGTATATGACTGAAACCTAATGGATAGTGGTTAGGTGTACTGGAAAGAAAAGGCTTTTAAAATCAGATCATTAAATATTTTTCTACCATTATGTAAATTCCCAAACCAAAATTGGAACAATTTAAAGATATGTATTACATTTCATTTTTATTAGCTGATAGTTTTAGACATACGTGTTATAAAACATAAAGTAAAAGTCCTAATTCAAGTTCAGTTGCCCTTCATGCTTATTGGTTTTAACAGGAATCAGATTTGGAAAAGGTCTTTTCCAACTTAAACGATTTTATGATTCTATGTCCTACTTTATTAACATTGCTGGTTTGTTGCCCAAGTAACATGAAGTTAAGCTGCCTATTGACAGAGATAAAAAAACTTGAGACCTCATTACCAAGTTTGCTTTGGAATTTCGATAAAGAATCAGCTTTTTTCATTTTCTATAGTTGCAGCATTTTATGTGACATTTTCAATATCAATATATTTTCAGTATACCGATTTCCTGGAATAATGTAAAAAAAATAACAAAATACGAATAGTTTAAAGTTCATTTTAAACTTTTCTTAAACAAAAAATTCCCATAAAAACCCTTTTTGGTTTTCTCCTGGAAAGCTTTGTCTTAAGTAACATACTTCTAAAAATGTTTTGATTAATATCAAAAGAATGTTATTGATTAAATGTTTTAACAGAAACTTTCCAAAGAACTGTCTTTATTGGCTTGTAAAATACCACACTAAATCTGATTTGTCTTGCATGTCCTGGAAAGTTTCAGAGCTGTTACAAATGTAGCCAAGTGCTGTTTAATGTTGATTGTCACATGTAAATTTTAAAGGTTTTATTGAAAACCAAGATCGTTAATGCCCAGTAGCATTGCTGTAAGGTATACTTATTCTGAACATAAACTCATTGTCAGCTCAACTGAAATTAGACTTGGACTTAAGGCTGGGTGGTGTTTTTTAAAATATATATATATATATACACACGATAGGGTGTACACAAGACATTTTAGAAAGCGAGGGGTTAATGCTGTCTAGGGAGAGCAGGTGCAGGTCCTATCATGCCCTGGAGCAGTGGCTTACCCTGGTGGACATGAAAAGAGAAATGCCATTAA